TGATCATGCTGACAAATATTCCTCACCAGTGAGGAGAATGTGCCACATTGTGGCCCAACATCAACATCAACATACACTTTCTGAGCACCCAGCACACTGTATCTGAGTTGTATGAGTAGGCTATCTGACTTAATCATATTCCCCCTTCTTGCCTCAATAGCTTTTGGGTATTACCGTCACATATATAATCAAGAGATCAATATTTTTCGAATTTAATCATATAAAACTGCAGAGCAGCTTGCTGTTAAATTGGAACCAGTGGATAAGGTGAGCTGAAAATGATGTGAGCACTTACATGGATGTAAATAAGTGTTTTACAAAGCTTGTATGAGACAGTGAAAGGGAGAGATAAATAAGGAGAGGGTGGAGTGAGGTGGAGAGGGAAGTGGCGAAAACACAGATCTGTGATATTCTTCTTGGGGCAGCTAGAGATCAAAATTGGGCTGTAACTATCAGCACTTACCTTATAGATGCTAGTTCAGACTGAGCTTTGAGAGTAAAATCTAGACCATAGATCCAAGTATGAAGGTTGAGGCTGCGGCACAAGTATCTAGCAGAGTGAAACAAACTCAAAATAGATGTCAATTATCTTGAATTCATACACCCTTAATACTTCCTAGATGACTGATACAGATAGCCCATTGAGAGTTCCAAAGGCTAGATTATTTATTGAGGTAGAGTAAAGATAGTGCTACAATGGAAGAGGCCTAGAGGAATGAGCCTTGAAAGCGTTAGAATGCTACAAGTCCAATATTGCCCCAATTAAGCATGTATTATGTCAGCTTAAATCTGGAACTCACATCTCAAATCCATCAATTCAATGACATCATAGCCTTTATATCTGTCTAAAAAGTCACAGTACAATGTGCACCAACATCCAAAGGCTATAGTGGTAAAAGTCCTCTGCTATGGATGCTATCAGAGGATAGGGCCTTCATCGGCTTATCTATGAGACTTCTTCCTCGGCTATCACACTCATCATCGGCTATCATAAAATCCGTGTGAAAATCAGGCACTATATAGAAAAACCCGGATTTCCTGATGTATATGACAGCCCATGAGATAGAGTGGAACATGACGGTCTACAGCTCGGCAAAATGATGGGCAGAAGAGATGATGGTCAGGAAGAGAGGGAGGGAGCAGGGTTAAGGGCAAAGGGCAGTCACATCGGATGTGCTGGCAGAGGTTTAAATAAATGATCTCACGTGTCGGGTGCATTCCGGCACTCTCTGCCACACATTATTTGACGAAGGGCCACACACTCCGACCCAGCATAGGACCAACGCAGGACACTCTACTTAGTTTGAGCTCTCAGATATGAGTCCTAATTGTCTTCTTTTGTCTTAGAATAGAGATTAACTTTCTCCGAATGAGTTGCGAGGCTACTACGAACTCTGGATGACCTGGATTGTGGCCGGCATGAATTGACTCGCATGGAGGCCACGATTCATGGCATAGCTCGTAGGTGATGTGCATGGCTATATATGTATGATAGATGTGGTCACTGTTATGGACGCTTTTTCTTCTTTGTTACTTCGTGTATCTTTTCCTTTTCTTTTCCTTTACTGCGTTCCTAGTAAGGCGACACACACCCGGACTTCGGCTCGATCCTTTCTTACTAAAATCCCTTTAAAAACCTTTCTACAAACATATCTCTTTCTCTTATGGACACGTATACTTACCTCGGACACATACGATAGTTGACTGGACACGTAGGAGGACTGCGGACACGTTACTTCTGTCTGACACAGACTATCTTGGCGTGGCTTGACTCTGGCTCGGCGGAGCAGACGAACTCTTAGGCTGATGTGGCGGACCTAGATGACGTGGCGATTCACACGGACTTGTATTAGTATAAATATCGGACCTTTGTAGTCGAGATTCTCCAACCTGTTCACTTGTATTGTACCTACAGTGTTTCAGTTGAATTCACCAGAATTCTCGATATCGTCTTGTGCGACCTCAAGACGATACCCCTCGAATCTCGACTACTGAAGAGCTTTACCATCAGAACCTCGAATCCACATCAGCTCTAGCAGGACGCCTGCCTCAGAAGAGGACACCTCATCTGAACGAACTCGATCCTAGACCGGACACCGCGTCTAGACGAACCGAGCCAGAACCCCGGATCCGGAACCTCCGAAGCCCCTCGCTGATCGCCCAAGCCGACGGCGCCGAACGACTCGATCGTTCCCCGCTTCACGAAACCGACGCCGCCCTTAAGCCTAGCTTAAGCCCGGTCGTAACAGTCACTTCCTATAGCATAAGTTGCGGGCTACGGTTAGTCGACAAGTTAAGATGAGCCATATGTGGTATGCACAACAATGTGTGGATTGTGTGGCGTGCATGGCCCTCTGCAGGCTTGCAACACTGGGCAAGCCTCACCATGAATTTGTAGGTTTACGCGGCCTGCATTTTGTGCTTGATATATTTGTCATGACCTTTCATCATTTCCATGCCTTTTCTATTATTTCCTGGTGTGTGCCACAGTTGGGCCACACTTTTCCGAGTTTCTGTGCCACTGTGGCCTGGGTTTGGTTGTGTTTGGTTCTGGCTAGTATATAAATCTACCTACTTCCTGTTTTGTACTCTAGTCTTGAGATCGTCAGTTTCCCCCCTATACAACCTTTTCCTCGCCCTTGGTGTGTGTTTTTGAGTGAGAGATCGCCTGCCAGCAACCCCTCTTTGTAGGATATGGTTGTTCTGGTGTGGTTGTGACAATATTGATATAAGAAAGAAGACATGAAATTCTGAACATCTTATGAGGACGCGGGATGCACAGATCCTAAATAATGCTTCAGAAACCCGGAGCACCAAATGAATTGTCTAGGATTGCGGCCGGCATACATCGGGCCGCATCCACGACAGGCCTCGACACACCACGCATGAAAAGGTAAATTTCTGTGATGTTTGAGAGGTATAGGCTAGCTGATCACTTCAGATTTCTTTTGGACATCTACCTTTTGGTACATAGAGCTTATCTATAACAGAGATTGGTCCACAAATCTATCAATTATATTCAGAAATCCAAATACGCTGCAGAGTTGGAGCCAAAAACCAACATTTTGCATACTTATTGTATCACACAGTCCAGTTCTGACATGGTAGGTAACCCAGAAACATTCATTATGATGTATTCTAACCCCGTACAACACCGCACTACAATCACACTGCATTTGAGAGAGATCTGGTCCATATACACCCCCCTTACTACCTGTGCATCTGCTCCCCTGTCAAAAACATTGTTTTGTGTTTTCCACTGCCTAATAGTGGTGGTTCTAGTACTCGTTCAATGTTTAAACACATTTAAACTAAATTACCACAATAAGAACACTGCCAAAAACACGTAAATTGGTTCTCCTGTGATTATACTGTGGCCCAATACACTGTTTTACCCCCTCAGCGCCCCACAATTGATGCAGAAGTATTTTGACTGATTTTACACCGTAGATCGTCTTCCCACACATCAAACTGTATTGTCCAATCATAACTTCAACACCACCAGACATTCTAACCATGGTAATACCCCCAGGGTAGATGTTCTCCTCCTCCCCCTCTAGACGTGGCACCACTACCAATGCCATGGTCGCTGTTTTTGTGTTCTGAGTGGTATCCATAATTAAGTATTAATGTATGCCTATCATTGACAGCAAAAACAAAGTGAATCAAACTGTTATATTAGAAGTGCTGGCCTGCCTATCCCCTTTCACGTCGATGTGGCAATATCTTTCTGACCGTTTACGCTATAACTTCGGAACAAATGGACTGATTCCTTCAAAAGTCGATTTGCACCATCCTCGGGCTCCTTCATGTTACCAAAATCACATTGCCAATTCACATTTTATACGCTGATTCCATTGAAACGACACCCAGCAGTGTGATTCATTTGTCCTAAATCACAAAACTCGCAAAGTTACCAAAACACCCCCAAAACACCCCCTAACCCCCTAACAGACCAGAAACCAGTACCTGCTAGGCCTACCCTAGCATCCATACTATTATTTCCCTATTTTCCCCGATTTATATCGCATCTAATACTGCTGCAGTATACCCAGTATTGTTCCCAGTACCCAAAATCCAGCCAAAACCTACGTAATTCATGTATAGAGTGCCCTACCAGCCTGCTACCCATTTACCCCCACCCCCTACCCATTTTCCTACCCCTAATCAGCACCCCAGCACCCTATCCTCGTCCCAGCACCCAGCAACCCTACCGGGTTCCTAACCCGCCCCCAGAGCCTACCCGGTCACCTAAAAGCCAGCTGACCAGCCAGGCCAAAGCACGTTGGGCCACATCTAGAATGAACATTCTTGTGCCACACCTCTGAGCACAAAGCAACCTACCCAATTTTTATCTCTTTTTGGACGTTCAGAACCCGGCATTTATCATGAAAAACAAAAACAAGCAATGCAGGTATTTCTTAGTATCCCAATTTGGCCGGTACAGTATGGGCTTTCTGGCAGCATGTGGCAGTGCAGGGAAGACCCATGAAACATTACAATGGAGCTGGAAGGGTTAACCGTGCAACATTATAATGAGGCTACTATGCCTAACCCAGTAATGCAAATCTTACAGTAGTGCAAATTCTGAGTTCACACCTCGAGTCCCCCTCCGTTCATCCTCAAAATATTCTACAGGGTGCATATACTGCCTAGTATTGTCTTTGGGTACTTTATTTGACAAATGTCATGCCTGAGCCACCAAAATGCTCAATAATATCGAAAATTTGCACTTCGGACTTGCAATGCACGTCGGAATGCTTCCGGCCCGCCAGAAGTGCAAATTTGCATTATGGGGTGCAAGCAGTCATTGTCGCGCTTGACGTTGACAACAATATTGTCACTAGCAAAAAATACCATTAAAATCGGTGGACATGGCTAAGATGTTTGTTCATCTGCCTCGGTATTTATTTCAGTGATCGGGTGTGTTAAAGGGGCTTTGTACCACGAGAGCTGCAGAATTTGCACAACTAGATCAGACATAGTACAGGCCCTGGTGGCCATATGATGCCTTCCTTCCACCATGTCAAGTTCGTCTTCTTCAGCTTTGGGATCGGATTGGGATACCGCACAAGTCCAAGAAGCAGGTGTACAGTCACTCCTTGAGAATCATCAGTTTTCAGGTCGACATCGACACAATGACTGTCTCCATCCCTCTGGACTCTCGCAAAGCTCACGTTGCATATATTTGGGAGTTAATTGCTCAGCAACGACAGCTATTGGTTGAGTGGCAGCATCTTCTAGACTGGTGCAGTTGGGCTCTCAACATTGCTCCTCTCCTCCAACCCGCCCTTCAGTCTTCATATGCGAAAACTTGGGGGAAGCATGTTCGGAATGCACCCATCATGTTCCTCAACAACAAAATTCGGCACAACCTATCTTTTTTTGCGGATACTCTGGAGGCTTAGGATGGCGTGCATCTTCTTGAGTCAGACAGCTGAGGACATGATGCTGACATTCGCAGTGCTTCGAGTTTGAGGCTGCTAAGGGCGGCATTTACTATCTTGAGGCCCTGACGATTGTCTCAGCCCTCGAACGGGCCTGCTCTTTGACGCCTCGGCCAAAACGGGTCATTATTTTCTGTGATAACTCCAACTCAGTTGATGTTTTCAATTCCCTTTCAGCAGATGCTCCCTATAATGACATCTTGTACTACTCCATTCGTCTCCGGCTGCTGTATGGTGTCTAGCTGTGCGTCATTTATGTCGCAAGCAAGGACAATGTTATTGCAGACGTGATTTCCCATTTCGACTCAGCTATCATCTATTAACACCTCTTCTCTCTCCTCATTTATCCTTTTCAACCCCCTCGATTGCCGCTGGGGGTGCCGCGATGTTAGAAATTTCTCCTTCACCACGCCAACCTTCTTGGTTGGTATGGTCGCTGGAACGCCTCCAGCACGAGCGGGCCATTTCTCTTTCTTTGGTATTAGAAAAATTGACTCGCTCTGGTTACAATTTTGCTGTTCATTCTTATATTACATTCTGTAAACTTCACAACTTACAGCGGTTCCGGGTGACCTTGACAATTCGCGTTTTTTTTTGGCAAGATTCCCGGAACGGAAGCAGACCTTTTATGGTAATCCTGAATCCCCGCCCAGGGCCGGCGGTCGACGCGTCGCGACACGTTCCTTCGTCGGCGACTTCTCTCTCACCACCATCATTGTCCTCCACGATACTGCTGAATTTACTCCCTCATATGGTCTACCAGCACATTTACGATCAAGTCAAAGAGCTTGCTGTTGATCTGGTCAAGCGCAGATGGACAATTGAGCAGATATGCGATACTTTACAGGTTTCAGATTCTAGCATTCGGCGGTGGGAGAAGATCTTCGACCACATCGGAACAGTCTCGAGACCTCCATCCCCTTTACAGGGCAGTGTTGGTATCATCACATCTGCGATTCTCAGCATCATTGTCGGAGTCTATCGCATTCATCCTGACATCTACCTTGACAAAATTCAACTCTTTCTTGCTCTTCATCACGACATCTGCATCAGCCCCAGTGCTATCAATGATGCAATCCTCGCCGCGAGATTGACTCAGAAGAAGCTTCGCAAAATTGCACAGGAGCGTGATGCAGAGGCTTGTGCCATGTGGACGGATGGGATAGGGGAGCTCTGCTGCGGGGATGGCTCTGAGTTGGTATTTGCTGACGAGACGAGCAAAAACAGTCAGACAGGTCAACGAATGTATGGGCGTGCATTGGCCGGAGAGAGGGCTGAGATTGTGGAGGGGTTTGGTCGTGGTCAGCGCTTTTCTTTGGTTGCTGCGATGAGTCTCAAGGGGTATATCGCTGCTCGTGCCGCTCCCGGTGCGCTTGATGCTGCAGAGTTCTATGATTGGGTTGCCGAGGAAGTTGTGAGTTCGGTTCAAACTTGTCCTTGATCTTGGCTTGATGCTTGTGTCCTCACTAGCTTCCGAATATGAACGAGTTCCCAGAACCTCAAAGCATTCTTGTGATTGACAATTGTCGCATACATCATAGCCAAGCTTTGGAGAAGTTGGTTATGGGAGCAGGTAAGTCAAACACTGAGTATCACGTCCTCTGTCTTACTTTGAACCTGTACATTCTGTTTCTACCTCCATAATCACCACATCTCAACCCAATAGAGGAGTCATTCAGTACCCGTAAACTATTCTCTTCACACTTCTTGAACCCACCCAATCAATACTGATTATATGCGTGTAGTGAAGGCCTATCTCAGACGTCAAGGTATTAAGATTGAAGATGAGGATGATCCGGCAACTATGTTGTTAGATGCGACTAGATGTATCATGGCGGAAGCAGCATATGGATGGTTCAAGCATGCGGGATACATTACCGTTGATGTCTGATGGCATACAGTAGCATACATCGAGAGTTTTTGATCCAATCACAGGCATACGATACTTGTTGGCCACAGAGTATATATACATATTACAGCGGTCGTGGTGTTTTCTACGGACAGAATACAAAGGCACAAGAACAGGGGCTCAGGCAAGGCAATTTGATGGAGCTACAGTATGATGGGAAAGAAAAGAAGCAGTTCATGGAAAGAGCAGCACCATGGAGAGAGCGCCAGAAGGGTTCGAAAAGTACATGGCGGTTGAACAATGAGGTGGCGGTGGCGGCAATAAAACACAGAGAACGTCCATACGAAGAGCACCAAGAGCAAGATGATAGCGACAAGAGATTCACAGATCAAGTTTACCAGCACGAGCATCACTCAAGAACTGCTTGTGTACCTTCAAAAAGCGACCCCAGGCTAACGATGTGAAGCCCGCACCGTTCGGCCCCTCTCCCCAATCTTCCCTCAAAAGCCCTTCCAAGGCAGTATCATCACCTATCTCGACTTCTAGCTTCTCCAACCGTATTCGATCACGCTCAGAGATCGAGTAGTGAATTGCTTTGTGATTGTCACGGTCGGTGGAGCTGGAGACAGGGTGCGAGCAGGAGGTGCCACAGGAGCTTGTATAAGTGGCGGGGCGTTGACGACGTGACGAATGTTGGAGTTCACCTGCATACCAAACATAGCGGGGAGCATGAAGGTGGTGGCAGCAAGCATATCCTGCGTGGCAGGTACTTGACCGAAAAGGTTGGCGAGATTTGCGGGATCCATGGTGGTAGGAGGGCCAGCGCCAGCGTAGTTTGCCTTCATAGTCTTCTTCTTGAGTTTTCGTGAGTCGGAGAACCATATAGAGGTCATGGGTGGTTCGGTAACCTTCGCCTTTCCTTGAGCCTATGCGAAAACCAAAGTCAGAAACAACATCGCCAAGGATCCTGAAGGTGAGCGTAAAGTACACATCGAGTAGCCCAAATGCGGGCAGACGTATCACTGATCTCCTATGCGCGTCCATCCGGGGCCTTGTAGACACGTATGTCCGGATATTCAAGGGGCTTGTTGTTGATTGGATATTTCTCGAGGATCGAGTCGAAGTATCCCTTTGCGACTTCATCGAGACCGAGCTGCAGATGAGTCAAAGGTTTCGTCAGTGGTTTGGAATCAGAAGATGCACATGACTAGACATACCAGTCTATCCTTTACACTGGTTATGGATGAGATGGTGTTCTTGTCATATTCGAACTGATCAACGGTGGTACTCTCATCCCAAGGCTGTAGGCAGCAATGTAAGTGATTAGCCAGAACACGATGCAGAAGTATCTGACCGTATCGCTAGCGGGTTTCACCGGAGCAGGCATGCGTACTATGATGGCGTAGTCCTTCGATTTATTGTGCAGAGTGAGTCTCAAAGCCTTGAACCCAACCTCAGTGGATAAAGAATTTAGTTTGGAGTTCTTGGGCTTCATAAACTGCCACGTCATACGTGCTAGAATAAGATTGTCTGGCTCCGATGAGACTGCTCTAGCTGTCCTCAAATGAAATACGGGCCAGCAAGTGGAAGTACTATGAAAGAAAAAGGGTTCCTGGCGATGGACAGTCTCTTTGAGACTCTTTGCAGCCCTTGATGACCCGACAGAAGCAGGTGGTGGGACAACAACATGAGCATAAGCTGCAACTTCGACGTCTTTGACCGGTTCGTCGTCCGAACTAGAGAACCCCTCTTCGTCAGAGACCTTTCGCTTCTTCTTCTGACGGTGTTTGGTCGAAGGTGCGGGAACATCGTCATCAGAGCTCTCTGACCATGTATATGACACATATTCATCACGATAGAGTCATAGAGATAGCATATATTGAAGGTGGTGCAATGAACGTACCTTCAGTTGCTTTCCGCTTCCCCTTCTTGCTACCTCCGGCAATCGGTTCAGCAGCTTCTTGGTTCGCCAGCACTTCATCGGTATCTGAGGTTCCGATATCTGAGAAGATACCAAGAGTAAGCAGTAGATAGACCGCATATATGTGTTCCAATGCTATACGCCAATGACATCGCCATCGGCAAAAGAGGCATCTTGCTGGTGAGCGGGTTGTTCTTGATTGAGTCTTTTCACAGACTTTGGCTTGGGGCCCATGTAGTGCATGAAGCATAGAGCTAGAGTACATATGAAGAGCTTGTTAGAAGTTGGGGAGGTGTAAAGATTGAGGCAAGAAAAGATTGAGGCAAGAACCTTTGTCGCTAAGAGTAGCTATGGCCGGTGCAGCAACATCTCTGTTGAAGTCGAAGTCGGCAGTCTTCCTTCCACCTGAAGCCTTTTTTTTCCTTTGCCAGGCATTTCAAGTCAGAAGAGCACTCAGTTACACTAGAATGTCAGCAGATGAGTGAGGAAAGCGATGGTGGTGGTGAGAGTGAGAAGTCGCCGACAAAGGAACGCATTGCGACGCGTCGACCGCCGGCCCTGGGCAGGGATTCAGGATTACCATAAAAGGTCTGCTTCCGTTCCGGGAATCTCGCCGAAAAAAAAACGTAAATTGTCAAGGTCACCCGGAACCACTGTATCTACTACACCAACTGAAGATACTGTCTCCCTTTGTGATGCATGGCAGTGCTCCCACATCAAGCCTGAGTCTGTCTCCCTATCTTTCGGGCATCTGCACTATACTTGAACCCCTTTTCCCAAACATTCACCAAGTCCGTAACAGCCACCTCATCACTAAGACTCTCGCAGGCTGCCGCAAGTGTTTCTCAACTCCGATCAGGCGCACAGAACCGCTCACCATTGAGGACATCACTCACGTTGCATCCTCCCTCTCATCCCCTTCTTACAATGATATCCTCTTCCTCACTCTCTTGTCCTGTGGGTTCTTCGCCCTCCACTAACTTAGTGAGCTCATCGACCCTGACCAAGTCAAAATGAGGGAGCCTCAGAAGTGCATTCGACAACGAATTGTCAAACTCCACTCCAATGAGGCATTCCCCTATTATCCCCCCATGCACAAGGCCGATCAGCTGTTCACTGGCAGTGAGGTATGGATCACTGCGCAGAAGGGCCCCACTAATCCAGTCGCGACCTTCCATCGATATTTTTCACTTCGGGATCGTTGATTCCCACTGCACAGCCAACTGTTTCTCACTAGCTCCGGTACAGTCCCCATCCAGTCATGGTTTATGATGTGGTTTCACCATTTCTTTGGCTCTTCCCATGGTGGTCACTCGATGCGCTGAGGAGGCCCCACCGTAATTCCTCTGCCGGCACCTCCATGACTGCATGACCTTCCATCTTTCTCTCAACATCAAGCTTCTCTCAATACTAGCCTCTTACTGGCGCCCTTCGGTATTCACTCAAACATGCTCCAGTGGTGTTGGGTTGATTTGTTGGGCTAAGATGTAGTTTTTGTGATTCCAATTTGACCCCACAAATACGATACCTCCGCTCTGTCAGTTCTTGGCCACGTCGTCCATGATTACAATGAGTCCTCAGGGACGGGGCATACCGGCTCGGCACCAGTCACCTGGTCGGGTGTGGAATCCTGGTGTCAGTGGAGTGGTGATGCTTTGGCCCACGATCACCAATCGTAGGACAAAACTTTGGCACTTCACGAAGCCAAACAATATGCCTTTCTTATTGCTCCGGCATTTCCTGTTTCTTTATGATCGCTGACTCCACGTAGTCATGACGCGCTTTGTGCTCTCCTCGCTTGGATACCAGCACCTAGGCACGCTGCCTTGTTCCTGCATACATATACAAACCTCGTGTTTCGTCTCTCGTCTTTTCACTTTTTGCCTCACCTCGTCTCGTCTCGTCTTGGCTCAACTGCTCCTCACTCTATTTTGCTATCCATCTTCCCTCCCTCTGTCATTATATCTTACCCCTTCGGTCCCTTAATCCCCTCATGCTTCTATATCTGCACAGTACAGAAGTCAAAAACAGAAAAACATGGACACTGACCCGCTCTTTTTTTGCTTCACTTACTTTACCGGTCTATGATACATGTCTCAGCATTTAATTCCTCTTTCTGACACTTTACTTTAACTCATACAGCTTGCATGGTTGTGCAAGCTTGGGGTGCAGCTCTCTTACTTGCATATTTTTGGTCTTCATTGTCACAACTATATGTTACTCAGTAGGATACACACCCTCGTCTCGTCTGCCATGCTCAATACACCCTGGTCGGGATTTTCAGGGCGCCCTTTGGTATTTACTTTGCGTTTATTGGACAACATGAAGGAGGCCGATTTTGGAGGTTCTGACTATTTGACAAACATTGATAAATGTATACGATGGTGCAAATCGATTTTGAAAGGAATGAGTCCATTCGTTCCGAATTTATAGCGTAAACAGTCAGCAAGATATTGCCCTATCGAGGTGAAAGAGGGTAAGCAGGCCAGAACTGGGGATATCACCAGATGATATAGCCTCTTTATAAAGAGTGCTTGTAGTAAGACTGGGACTCTTTACAAAGTGGCCCATGCTAATAAGGGCTCTTAATAAAGGGTAGTGGTGCTAGTGGGTATTCTGACCAGAAAAATAGGCAAAAGGAATAGGCAACAAATGTGTGAGAAATGAGTGGGTATGGGGTGTGGCCCCGGGGTAGGGGTGTGATTTAGGGATGGGTAGGGGATGAGATAGGGGGTAGGATAGGGTAGAAAAATGTGGGGTAATTATGCAGTAGGGCTAGGATAGCTGTATGCAGGGTATAGAGAGGATGTATGGAGCTAGGTATGGGCTTTGAGGCTAGTATAGATAGATAGGTGAATAAGGATAGAATTATGAGCAATAAAAATACGGAAAAATGGTAGCAAGAATGTTGGGATTAATATGCTAGGTACTGTGGGGATAAATTAGTAGGGTAAATAAGGTAATCTGGGGATGTTTTGGTAACTTTGTGAGTTATGTAATTCAGAGTGAATGAATTGCAGGGGTAGGTGTTGTTTTGATGGAATTAGCTGATAAAAGGGTAAAATGTGGCCTAAAGTTGGCAACATGAAGAAGGCTGATTTCGGCAGTTCTTTGGCTTTGATAAATAAGTATAAATACACATGTGGAACGTATTTCAGATTTGGACAAATCCATCCATGTGTTCCTAAGATATTGTAAAATCAAGTAGGGTGATATTCAGAGCTGAGAGTAGTTATGCAGGGTGCATTATTCAGCGGTTGGATATTGTTCCTTTTCGATGGGATGAGTGTCATATCATTCATATAGCATGTAACAGCCGTCTGAACGAGGATATCTGGCCATATGGGCCTATGGGACACTGAGGAACTAAGGGGGAGAGGAGGAGCACATGGATCTTGACCCTATCATGGATGTACTCATGGTCCATATTGGCTGGGATATACATGGATAAGATAGATATACCATTGGGTGAATTTATCATGGAGTTAAACCAGTGAGAATGTCCCTCTGTGAATATAGAGACAGAGAGGTGTGTTTCTGGGCCACAGTGCCACTGGATATTATTATGGGCGGAATTTAGACCATTTTTGGCTCATGTAGCTTTGTGGTGAATCATATAAAACATATAGGAAGAGAATTCAGTGCTTTTAGGGCCATTAAATACACCTGGAGTTGTATGGCACCCATCTTGCTCTTACTGACACACTCCCGGGAGCTGTATAGAGCCTAAGAGAATTGGGTACAGGGTGTCACTCCTGCTCCTGTAAGAGGGGCAGAGGAGATTGTTGTTGGTGTATTTGTTCGGTTGGGCCTTGATCTCTCGGAAAGGAAGCTTCAGTACGTATCACCTATGGACTATCTTTCTTTTTGGTTATATTCTTTGATGCCTTCAAACAGGGATTAGTAATTTGTCTTGTCTCTTTACCAATGACCAATGTTTTGTTCACAATTGTCTCTTGCTCTCTTGGTCTTTCTGCGGGTTTTGTAATGTTCTTTGCAAGGACTCATTTTGTGCTTCGTTTATGCACAAATATACTGTGTCCCAATTAGAGTCAAATACAGTTCATTGATGTCCATTCAAGTTAAATTCGTTTGTGTTAGATCAGCCCGTAAGTTCCTTGAGAATTGGAGACTTCCTTATTGCTATTTGCAAAATCCATGAGACTCGCAAAAACAGAAAAGTTGGAGTTTGGCAGGGACCACCTTGGTGCCACCCGCACTGGGGAGGTTGTGGGTTCAAGTCCGATGAAATGCTATTCCAACTAACAACCCCATCCAATTTCCTCTTGGTGTGGGAGACACTAGAATTGATAGTAGAACTCATCAATACACCTCATTGTATCAGAAGCTCTTGGAAATGTTATATGAACTCAGAGCACACAGAGGGATGGCCACCAAAAAGTATTCTTGGCATAGAATTTACTGAACTCAAACTTTTTTCTTTTTGCAAGTCTCATGAATTTTGCACATAGCAAGAAATTCATGTCCCTAAATCAGATTTGGGAAGAGAACGTGCGAGTGATGTCATTGTGCCTTCTGGCTTATGGCGACCCAGAGCCCCAACATGTTTGTTATGTTCATTGTCCTTGTTCATGTGCACTTTGCCGCTATAATCATGGTCTCAGCCGGTATTTGATCATCATAGTTTCTCTAATGTATCAACTGATTTATGGCACAATTGTCGAACAGATTTGGACATTATGACCTAGAAACTGACCATGATGGAGCATGTGTAGGGCATTGTCTTCCTCTGACCTTCATGAGTCAGAACCTCTCGATGTTGTGCTCGGTGTGAAGCAAGGAATCTGATGAGACATATGTACACTTTGGACTTTGGTGTGACAGATCGTCTTGTAAATATTGCCCTGCCGTGTCCTCCAGAGATAGTGATAGTGAAATGCTTAGAGGTAATCCAACTACATGGCAAACAACATGGTCTATCATTAGGTCATCATGCCATGGACCCATAGACGGGCCCATTTTCTGTTTTGTCCCTCCCTTCCTCTCATGATATATTAGGCTTCATGCCCTATTCCCTGAGCGGCCCACTACACACATCCATAAGCTTTACTCCCGCTCTCGTGCTGCTACCTCTCTTGCTCTTCTACCGATGCTTTCCTTCTTGGGCTCTGTCATTTTTAGGACTAGTTTGACTCATTCTCATCTGCATCAAAGGAGCTTGAGACACAGAGGAGACTTGAGGTGATGAGCCTCTTCAAGGAAGGTTACGCAGATACCGGTGGTCTTGGCACTGTGCTCATTATGCTGCTCAAGGATGAAGGGACGAATGCCCTGCGGTTGAAACAAGCAGGGCTAGTTGAATTCATCGACAATTGGCTAAAGGAGAGATTGTTTAGTGGCAAGGGTGGGCTGCCCGTAGAGAACCAGAAAAACATCCTTGCACTTAATATCTTCCGTCAGATGACTGAAAAAGGTGTGTGGCTCAATCTTGTCTTTGTCCTTTATCCCTCGTATAGGTATGACTGACTTGCCATTATAGGCATGGTCTCTGGCGACATACACAAATGTTGCATCAGTTGTATATAAACTTTCCTTGGATTTACCATTGTTACCTCTCGTCCGGTATGTTACACCCTACGTTTATTGGAATGTGCTGCTTATTTACAGGCTCATTCACCATCTAGTCTTTGGTTAATCTACTATTTCCTGTTCTCTCAAACTCACCCTTCTTTCAACGTCCACGAACTATCACTCTCCCTCATTTTGACCAAACTGTTACCCTCGCCCTGCATCCATTATGCATACCAGCCATACAGTTCTACATCGACTCCATGGAAAGGATACCTCTCTCCATCCCAGACCATGTAACCAATACGAGAGACAAAGCTATTGGCACTGATGGTATTGTGAGGCACAGATAATCGAGCACTCGAAGAACGACTGTGAGAAGCGTCACTGTCAATAATATTGCCCTCACAAAGTAATAGAAAAAGAAAGAGACGAAATCTATAGTAAGACTCACCTGTGAGAAGCGTCACTGTCAATGATAAAGAGACAAGGACGCTTCCCACAAGTTAAAAGGACGCGCTCCGGCGCTTACCGGTCTACTATACAGTTGGAAAACTACCTGCCTAAACGGGACACAGAGGCGCGGAACAGAGGCGCGGAATCTGGCCCTGTGCAGCCCGCTGGCTGGAGAAATAACTAAAGTCATAAC